TGCATATTGATAGTTTCGAGCAAGATCTGAACCATTTACTATCGACACTTGAAATGCGGCACTTTATCATGATATACTTAAAACTGAATTTAATACATTTGAAAATATATATTTATATAATAACTGATTATTATAGAAATAATCCGTTTCGATATTTAAAAAAAAAATTTTTTGTAAATTTATTTATTGAGATAAAAAATAAAATAATTTTCGTAAATATTGTAAAAAAAACAATTTTGAAGTGAAAAAATAGATTAAAATAGAAGATAATATAAGAATTGTTGGCATTCAGTAAGAAACTTTAATAAGTCAGGGTTTGAAATACCCTGTAACTAATAAATAAAAAGGTTGCTAAAAATAATAAACATATAATAACATTCTTTTCCTTGTGTAACATATTTTACTATATCCGCTTCGTTTTAAGGTATCAATCCATAATTATTAAATTATCAAAATATATTTGTTTAATCTTCATAAGAATATGTATTAATTTTTTTTTCACTCTGACCAGTCTAGATTTTATTATATGTCATTGTCTTAAACACAAATTAATAAAATCATTTAACCTATCTGGCGACCCTTCAACCACACTACAAAGAAAAATATAAGATTGCTTATATAATAGTTGTTTACAAAATTCATTATTAAATAGACGGGCGGGAGGGTAAAAAGTATGCGGGTGGGTTAAAAAAAATTTTAAAACAATGAATGAAAGGATTTTTTGGCTAAAGCTCGCCAATTACAGATCTAAGTTGTATAAATAATACACTGACCCAATCCAAGTTTGTTTTTGGAAGATAGGGAGGAGAGTGGGGTCATTTTGCATTATTCAAACGAATATTTGGATATTTAGTTTAAATGTATTTAGCTAGGTTCAAATATTTTGTAAAAGTTTCTCTATATTTTTTAGACCGACCCAGCCCGCAAACAGGAAATCGTTTAAAGAGGTTTTAACTGAAATCAGTGAGGTTGGCACTGATATAATCGAGTTAATAAGCCTCCAATTAAATATAACATGTTTGATGGGTTGCACAATAAGTGTATATTTACATTTATAGGCCATTTTGGATTAATAACAACAATTATTTATTGGAATTTTTTTTATAATCTATATTTATGTATTGAAAATGAATGAATAAATTTACAACAAAATATTAACAATAAGTTTAATAAATTTTTATATGCACAAGTTTATTAACAAATTAAAAAAAACATCTATTTAATTGAACAAGAAAATCTTTGATCTACACCTTATTATCCACTCTGAGAATTAACAATTTTGGCTAAATCGTCAGGACTTATATTTCCACCTGTTATCACAACTACTATACTAAGTCCGCGTAAACTAGCACCACAAATTTTTCCTACGAAGGGCGAATATTGAATGTAGTCATTAGAGATTGGTATGCTGCCGGAGTTTTGTACACTAAAAATTCCAGGAACCTTTTTATACAATAAAGCGGCTAAGGCAGCGCAACCAGACGGTTCTACAGCCAGTCCTGTATGGTAGCATTTAACTAAGGCTGCTTGTATTTCTTCGTCGCTAACTAAAATGATGGCGTCAACGTTACGAGAACATATATCGTAGGTTATCCTGCCTGTAAAATAATAAATATAACTACTTACTATATAAAAAAAAAATCATTAAAAAATTTTGTATCTATTCGAAATCGTAATAATTGACGTTGAAAGATAGAACGTTTAAATTATTGAAATGTAGAAAATAGATATCTTGGCAAGAGTAATCAATTCAGGTATGAAGCTATTTGCTTTCGAGATTGTGTGACAAAGATAAAATGCTTCTTTATTTTATAATGAAGAGGTAACCACGATGTCAAATAAATGAGAAATCATTTATCAGATATGTGATTTATAAGTTTCCGGTTTAATTTAAATATTATTTATTCGGAGCGACCTAGAGAGAGGAATAAATTAAAACGTCATTCGATTGCATTGGATATCATAGGTGAGTAGAATGCAGCCTTGTTTAAGAGCTCTAAGCAGTTGTGATTTGAAGTTTAAAGTGGTAATTATAATTGTGGTTGCTGCCATAAATTGTTTTTTTATTAACAAAATTATATATCCAGTATGGGTCATGTTTTGTATATTATTAACATTAAGTCAAAGACTCGACTAAGATTAGTTGCAGAAGGAACAAAGGTTTGGAGTAGAGTTCTGCAAAGTTAGGGCCGGACATTCTATTTAAAATAATCGGGTGGGGCCGGACCGGGCCTAATATTTTTTAAAAAAATTCGGGCCGGGTCGGGTCGGATCTTAGAAATTTTTTCAAACTAAATTTATCTTTTATGTAAAATAAAAAGATTTGATTTTATTTATTGAAACTAAACGACATATAACATGAGTCTTTTATTTTGAGTAATTATAAAGATTAATTTCTATATTTAAATTAACTCGGGCTGGGCAGGGTCGGTAAATTTTTTTAAAGTATTTGTTTGTTCACATTTTTATATAATGTTGACTGGATGGATTTTAAATTACTTCGAGTTCGGGCCGGACCGGCAAAACTGTTAAAAAAATTTTGGGCCAGACCGGGCTTGAAAAATTAGGCCCGATGCAGATCACTAACCTAGATATCACTAGCGTAGTTGGTTATTTTTTGAATAGAAATTTTGGCATTTTTTCTTTTATGACATTTGGCTACAAAGATATGTTGGTAAATAAGGAATTGGATCGGTTTTGAAATGATCTCGGACTGGTGAAAAATTTGTGAATCGGCAAAGCCCTTACATACAACAACGCAATGATCATTTTAAATTATGTCTAAGAAAAATTATTTAAAGTATTTTTTTAAAAAAACTGATTAATATGTAATTTTATACAAGGATGGCCCCTTTTGTGGGGCAAAAAAAAATATATACACCTATCTAATTAAGCTGGCCAGGTACCAGATTGAATTTGTTCAGGGATCCAAACCGAACCGTTAAACCGCTAAAAACCGGTACTTTTTATCGAACCTGAACCGAACCTAAACCGCTAAAAAAATTTCAGCCGAACCTGAACCGAACCGCTAAAATGCCTCTGAACCGGTTCGAGTCCATGATTTTATGCTTATAAAATAATATGTAAGTTATTATTAGATTTCAATTATATTCGAATAATTTTAAAGATTATCATCAATCACATTTGATTGAGAAATGTCGGTCATAATTTTTATAAACTTTATTATATTGTCATTTTACAACATTTTTTAAATATTTTAAGCTTATAAATTATAATTGTTAGAGAAAAATTCAATCCAAAATTATTATAAATGACATATCAAATCTGATATCATATTGGCAGTGCCGGCTACCCAAGATGTTTCAACAATTAAATTTACACTATTTCCTTATAGATATAATTTGAGTGAAACGAATTTTAGAAATATATTAATTGTGCGGCTTAATTAAAAAAAATTAAAATATTGTTCATATTAAAATTAATCATTGATATATATATATATTTATTTTTATATTTATAAATTAAATTTTATAATGTGCAATTAATAAAAATGAAGGTTTTATACATGTGTTTTTTAAATTAATGATAAAATAATAAAATATTTGCCCTATTCATAATTCGAATGTAGGTTTGAATATAAAAGTGTTCAAACCGGTTTTTAGAGGTTCAAACCGAACCGATATTTTAATACCGAACCTGAACCGTTATTTTTATTCGAACCAGAACCCGAACCGATATTCGTTTCGGTTTGGATCCCTGAATTTGTTTTATAAAAATTGAAGGTAGTAATTATTTCGAAAATATTGTGTTATATTCCTTTATATAATTAAATAAAATGACCGGAAATTGAAAAAAAAAAATTTTTTTTTATACTAAGTGATGTTAAACGCCTCGATTTTAGTAGATTTTTTAAAAACGACTGACTCAATATTTTAGCTCGAAAAAACATGGCCTACGCCTCGAGATTTCGCTGTCCAAACTTTTGTGCCATCTATATGGGAGGGAAAAATCTTCATGTTTTGACGTGATATTTTTTTCTGGAAAAAATATTGATATGGCCGTTTTTTTAAAAAATCGACTCAAAACGAAAAGTATAATCTTTGCACGTAATTTTGAAATTAAATTTTTTTTATTTACAATCATGTGGTTTTTAAGATATGATTAATAATTGAAAAGGCAGATAATGATGAAATGACGTCATTTTTACCACTATGAACTCTAGTATCTCCAAAAATTTAAATGTTGAGAGACTAACATTTTAGAAAATCAATTATAATTAATGTTCTTTTGCAAATTATTACCGAGTAAAAAAACAAATATATTATGAAATTTCAAATAAATTTATTTTAAAAAAAAAATTAGGGGGGGGGGCATTTTATCGGATGGAGTTGTAAAAATTTAATAATATTGGCCCCGATAACCGACATTTTTAAAAAAGATTAAATACCCGTCCGATCCGACAAAAATATCGATACATCCCTATAAAAAATGATTGACGTGAATAACTGGACATATAAATAAAAACAACCCTAAAGGTTTAAAATATAAATAAATATAGAAGATTATTAATCAAAATGATACAACGAAAGTCTATCATTAATAGATGTCACCTTTCTTGAGCAAAATTTTCACGCTTACGTAATAATTTTGATTAAAAAAACATTGAGCTATTCATTTTTTAAAAAAATCAAGCCTTTTAACGTTAAACGGCTCGTTTTGAGCCGATTTTTAAAAACGGCCAACTCGATATTCCATCCAGCAAAATGCTAGGCAACCCTGAATATTTTGCTCATAGAAGGAACAAAGGTCTAGACATAATATTATCTATATCTCGAGGCTTAGGCAATATTTTTCCGGCTAAAATGTTGAGTTAGCCGTTTTAAAAAAATCGGCTCAAGACGAACCGTTTAACAACACTAGTCAAAGTTTAACACTGGGGAATTTTTTTCTTAAATATAATAAAGAAAATTAAAATAAGACAAGACAAGACAAAATCGTCATCTTTTAAATTAGGCACTTATATTAATAAACTTTCATACCTGTATGTGGTGTGGCTAAACCCTTTGCTATGGTATCAACTTTGTCTAATATCACTGGAGTTTGTCCCTTGAAACTTTGAAACATATTTGAAGCTTTGTAAATTATGAAATTTTTTTAATAAAAATATAGAAACATTCATGGTAAAAAAAACGTGTTTTCGACCTTAAATTTAAAAATAAGGTATTCCAATAAATATTAAAACCCAATATTTCATATGATCCTTTTTAAATTATATTTATTTATTTATATACTCATATCGATATTCATCCAAATCATTATTACTTCCATAATATAATATTTATAAAAAATCAAGCAAAGACAAATTAAAAGTCCATCTTTATCTTATAGAAAATATATTGAAAAACGTCTATAAATGTCAATTAAAACTAGACAGATACAACAATAAAGATATATTTTTTATAAAAAATTGAAATTATATCTTAATTTGATTAGTATTTATATTTTTGTTAAATTTAAGGTTTAATGAAAATAAAATTTAAAAACATTAATGGTAAACGTGTTTTCAATATTTAAATTTGGGAAAAGTTATTTACTGATAAGAAAAAAAGAAAAGAAAGATTTTTCTATAAAATAAATTTTTTATATTTTGCGGTCCAGATATTTTATTAAACATTTCGCGCCTAGGAAAATCATTTGTCATCATAATTTTTTTAATCTATTAATTTTTATATTTAAAAAGCTAAAATAGTTGCCACATAAACTATTGATCTGGGCCTAATTTTTCAAACCCGACCCGGCCCGACCACTAACAACTTTTTTATTTGGTCCGAAAATCCCGACCCCAAATAAAACTCATTTGTCCACCCGGCCCAGCCCGAATTTATTAAAATATAGGTAAAAAAAAAACTTTTTTTATTGTAAAAAAAATATTAGCGCTTTGTTTCTTGCGAGAATCTCTAAATATATCAATTTATTTAGAAAAATAATATAATGATATCATATTTACAGATCTAAGCCCGATCCGACCCAAAATTATTAATAAAAAAAAAGACAGCCGGCCTCGGACTAAGTATGGCCCTAGAAATATTGGATCGGATCGGTGCCTGTAAAAACCGATCCTATATTTTACTTTTCTTTTTTTAGTTAATGTTATGTATATTTATTTTACATTATAATATTTTCAAAATAATTTTTTTAAATTTTATATCTTTTTAAAAATAGATTTAGGATTTTTAAAGTTTTTTTTTTTATAATAATAGAAAGGAACACCCAAAGTGTTATTTATTTTAAATCTTTTTAAATAAATTTTTTTATTTATACTTTAAATAAAAGAATTTTTTTAAATATGGTATCTGAATTATTGAAATATTTTACAAAAGACAAAGATAATCTTGCAAAATGCCTTATCTGCGGAATCATCTGAGTCTGCCTTCAGTACGGCAGGAGATATAGATAGTCCATATCGTAGAAGCTTATTCCCAGAAAATCTAGAGGCACTCATATTTATTAAAAAAAATCTAATATATTATTTTTATATATTAAATTTTACAATTTTATAAATCCAACATAAAATGGATATATTATTAAATATATATTTGTTTATTATAATCTTAATTGTAGAAATAAAAAAATTAAATTATTCATAATTCGATTTTTTGCATAAAAAATATTGCTTTATTAATTACATTTGGTTCAAATGGTGGTAATTAAAAATCAGTAAAAATATCAGATCGGTTGAAGCATTAACGGAAAATATCGGATCAGAGAAAAATATGCGGATCAGCCCAGCCCTAATTTTTTTTTTAAACTTTCAAAATCTCTTTATCAAAATTCAATAAACTTGAAAAAATATTTCTTTACCTCCTCACCCAATTTTGGATGTTCCAACTCGTTAGAATTTAACCTATTTAATGCTTGAAAGGGTAATATTGAACTAGGGCTGTGCTGATCCACATATTTTTCACCAATCCGATATCCCCTTTTGAACCAAATATAATTAACAAATCAATAATTTTTATGCAAAAAATCAAATTATGCATTTCATTTAATTTTTTTTATTTCTACAATTAAGACTATAATTAAAGAATTATATATTTAATAATATATATTTTTTATGTTGGTAATGAATTTTAAAATTGTAATATTTATAAAGTATTAGATTTTTTTAATAATAGCCTCTAGATTTTCTGGCAATAAGCTTCCACACAATGGACTATCTATATCCCCTGCCATATTGAAGATAGACTCAGATGATTCAGCAGATATCGCATTTTACAAAATTATCATTGGCTTTTGTAAAATATATCCATAATTCAGATACCATATTTAAAAAAATTCTTTTATTTATAGTATAATAATAAAATTGGCATTATTATTTAAAAAGATTTAAAATAAATAAAAAGTTTGTGTGTTCCTTTCTATTTTTACAAAAAAAACTTTTAAAATACTATAAATCTATTTTTAAAAAAGAAATAAAATTTTTAGGGTGTTATGGATTCGGATTGTTTATAATAATATTATAATAATGTAAAATAAATATACATTACATAAAATCAGAAAAATAAAAAGATCGGATTACATCAGTTTTTTACAGGTATTGGCCCATTCTGATATTCTTTAGAAAACACTAAATATCAATGCCAATCCGATCTGATATTTAATATCAGCATAGCCCTATTGACAATTTATTCCAACAATGAACGTTATTACTGCTTTGGCTAGGAATGATATATAAATTTATAGAGAATTTCTGGAGCCGTTTTGTGTACAGGAAAAAGTAAGGGGCAAAAGGCTTAAATGACTTTATATCTTTGACAATATTCTTTCTTTTATATTCACAAATTTGCACCAGAGAACTCTAGGACAAAGATTTAGTCTGATCAATTTCAGTAAATTTGTTTCAATCACTAAGACAATTTTAATAATATTTTCCAATCCAGTTTGTATAAAAAAATAGGTAATATTAAATTATTTCATTTGTTCATTTAATAGTCTTGATTTTTAATGTTAAGGATGATATCATATAAGAAGAAGTAATATTAAATTATTTCATTTGTTTGTTTAAAAATAGTTCTGATTTTTGGTAAAAATTTAAGAATATGTAAAATTATGAAATAATATGACTAGAATAATTATCTTACCTCCATATGGTTCAACACCATATATTTTACAGTTTGGTTTCTTATGTTTTATTGCAGATGATATGCCAGCTAAAAACTGCCCTCCACCACAAGAAGCAATAACAATATCAATGTCAGGACATTGTTGAAATATTTCATATCCACAACTAGATTTTAAAAAAATTAAACACATTATTAAAAAAAAAACCTTGCATATCCAGCTATTAGAATATAATCATCATATGGATGCAAAAAAAAACATGTTATCATTCTTTACATGATCATCAAGTGTTTTTTGTAATAAATTTTTATCAACTAATTCAACATTAGATCGTAATTCCTACGATTATCTTTATTTAATAACATTTTTAGGTTTTACTTTTATTATTTGAACACTTTCATCAGAAGCATTGTTTGGCATAATTATTAGTGAGTCTAATTTAAGCTCTTTTGATATAGTCGCCAATGCTTTTCCATAGTTTCCTGTAGATATAGTTACAAGCTTTTTTTTAAAATTATCTTTATCCATATTTGCAATTTGATTTATAGCACCCCTTATTTTAAAAGAACCTTTTAAATCCATATATTTAAAAACTTTTTATGCATTACCTGTATATTGCATATTTTCAAGCTTTAAGTATAAACCAACATATATTGGCAAATCTATTGTTTTGTCCAAAGGTATCATTGGTGTTTTCCTATATAAAACATTTTGCTTAATCATGTCATAAGCCTTTTCCATTATTTGGACATCCATGATAAATTTTGCCTATTATATTAGGTTTTTAACTTAAATTATGTGTTAATGATAAATAGCGCTAAAAATATTTTTAAAATTTTATTCAATTTTTAGCCGTTATAATAAATGATAATGACAGCTCTATCAATTATAATAAGTTGATGTATACATGACAAGAATGTTAACCCAATTTTTTAATACAACCAATGCATATGCTTATGACATTCGAGGCAGCAGTGCGAACTAATTATTAAAAAGCCTGGTTGGGTTGATATTTCAAACTGACCCGATTACGATATAAAATAATAATATGTAAGCATCAAAATTTGGCCTTTAGATGCCGAATACCTAACACACTGGATCATGCTAATTTATCTTCAGATGGGCTATGGGCCAGATAGTTTAAACTCTGCACCTTGACTTTTAGGCAATTTAATTTGGAACATCACAGGTGTATCTTCATAGGCGTAGCCAGAGGGGGAACAAGGGGAAATTCCCCCTCCCCTTAGAAATTTATCACATTTTGTGAATATCATTTTAAGCTAATAAAAAATATCCCCCGTTATCCCCCCCATACTCTGACCCCCCAAAATGTATGCATATAGCCAGAGTAAAGGATCGAATCAAAAGATCGCCGATCCTGGATTCGATCCTAAATTTGTCAATTTTCTTGGATTCGGAATTCTGATCTCAAATTGAGGATCGTGATCAAAATTTTTTAAATATTCGATCCCGATCCTTTTAAAAATTTATTTTTTACTCAAAAAGCAATAAATAAAATCCAAATTTTGAAAATTAAATTAAAATATAATTTTTAAATAAATATCTATACATCATATTTTATCAACCACCATATTTCAACAATTTCATTTCTCCAATTTTTGGAAGGGATTTAAAGCCTATAACTACAAGTTTTATTTATTTAATTTAATTATAATATAAATAAATTCTAGGTTTTAATAATGTCCTCCATTTTAGATTTAGAAGATGATACATCTACTAGTACTACTATTGAAGTGACAGCAGATATAGCTAAGAATGAGAATCTTTTACTATTTCATAATTTACGTGCAAAAAACAGCAGATAAAGTTATAATGTAGTTTATTTTTGATACCTTTCAACCACTTTCACTGGTTGATGATCCTTCATTCCAGAAAATGATTAAAACATTTTCTCCAACGACAAAAGTTATTTGTCGTCAAACTCTGGGCAACAAAATCCCTACCGCCTTTACAGATATGACAACAAATCTTATAAGAGATTTGTCTGAAGTCTCCTAATGCATAGTGTTGTTAATTTGCTTGGTCGTAAAATTTATAACCCTTTTATGTGCTCAGGCCGACCCGGGATTCAGACCTAAGGTCCAGACCCAGGGTTAAGACCCGGGGTTCAGACCAGAGGTCTAGACCCGGGGTTAATACTCGGAGTTCCGACCCGGAGTCCAGACCCACTTAAGAATTACACCTGGGGCTCGGATGAATGTAAAGTAAAAAATAAATCACATTTTCTAATCTTATACTTATCTTATACATTCTAAATTAATAAAGCTTTTAATCTCATTTTCTTACCATTTAAATAATTTTTTAAATTTGGCAACTTTCGTTTGATCATAATGTCTTCGGGTAAAATAAAAATATCAGTAAATATTTAAATAATAAAGTAACCCATGATTGGATAAAAAAAATTGTAATTAAATATAAACAAAAAATAAAAATTAAACGTCATTCATGCATGTATAAATAATAAAAAGAAATGTAAATTTATAATTAGTGTAGAGTAGCAAGAACGCCGCTGCTTTTACTTTTATTGTCCCTGAGCCTCAATTTCAAATTATCATCATGATCGGAACTAGGTGAAATGGCCAAGACTCATGATGCATTTTTAATATTTTTGAAATTGTTTATTAATTATTATTTTTTAGTTTTTTTACTATATAAAATTAAAATTTTATATATTTTTATATTTAATAATTAAGATTACCATACAAAAAATTAAATATAATTTATATTACACGTGTATGCATTTTTGTTTATTTTTTTTATATTTAAAATTTTTTTCAAAAAAATGTAATATAATATATTAAAAATTGACTCAACCTTAAAACTCATGAGGATGACGATTGAATCAATAAAAAAACATCCCATCTCATAAAAAAATATTTTATTTGAAAATAAAATATATTTTCAAGCTAATCTAGTAAATAATTTAAATTTTTTCTTTAAATCATATTACTAAAGAAAAAAAATTATAATATGATATTAGAATTTTTTTTCCTTCTTTTTTTTAAATTTATATAATAAATCTTCTATTTTTTGAGTTTTAAAATAATTTCCGGTATTAAAAAAAGAGGATTCAAAACAACAGACCGGTCATGAAACCTTCTTTAAATATGTCAGTATATCTAGATTTAATAGTATCGTTATGCCCCATCATAGTTCATAATTAAGTACGAACTTTCTTGCCGGATTTGTTTAATTTCATCGCTATTTTTTAAACACGTATATTTATTTTTTTTATTTTAATTTTATATATGTATCTTGGACAATTACATTTAATATTTTTAAAATATTTTAATAGTTATTAACCATTAATGACTAAATAAAATAATTACCTTAAAAAGGGACTAATAAAAAAATATTTTAATTACCTTTAACTTGATACCCATATCAAAATATATTATTTTTTACACCCCCCGCCTCCATACCTCCCAGACTAAGTCATACCCATCATGACAAAAAATGAATATTTTTAATCTAAAGATATTTAAATTAGATTTTATTTGATACCCATCATATCGATATTTAGTGTTGATAAAAATATTCCTGACCCCCCCCCCCTCCCCCCAAGACCTCCGCCTCGCCCTCTATCAGTGTATTACAATAAAAAAATATTTTAAAACATGTTTATTAAATCGTCACAACACAACACGATCAGACCCCGGGTCTAAACCCCGAGTCTGAACCCCGAGTCTGAACCGGGTCTAGACCGTCGATTTTTAGACCCAAACCCCGGGTCTGGGTTTTACACAATCAACCAATTAACAACACTATGTATGCACCACTGCTGATTGTTAGAGTGGTCATCGAAGGTATATTATATTTATATAAATTTTATATTATTTTATTTTAGGGCTTTTATTAGTGTTACTGTCCATTGGATGGACCCATTAACCCTCAAGAGAAGATCAGCAGCTTTAGCACTGAGGCGTATAATTAGAAAGCAATCATATGATGTTTTGGCTAAAGAAATTATGGATATCCACAAGACTTATTATATTCATAATAAGGTGGTGAAGATGGTGAACGATAATGGAACCAACTTTGTAAAGGCATTCAAGTAATATTTATATTTAATAAAAAAAATTATTTAAAATTTTTTTTTATTTTTTCTATAGTATTTGGAGAAAATGAAGAAGATAGTGAGGATATGGAATTAAAAAATTTGGATGACATGTTATATCTGTTGATGACTCAAATAATCCTATCAGCCTTCCAAAGCATCATTTGTGATCAAATTGGGTTCACAATATTTAGACAAGAAGAATGTTACTTTGTCAAAGAATATGCTTTATTAATACAATTATATTTTTATAATAACTAAAATTTAAATATTAAAGATTATGGAACCCTTCGCTACCTCATTAAAGATCTTGAAACGGGATTATAATATGGAGCAGGGATATCTAACCCCGGTTCTAACCATACTTATAGATAAGTTAAAGAAATTTAGCTGCCTGCGATATTGTCAGCCCCTTGTAGAGTGTGTGCTTAGTGGTATTGATAAAAGGTAATAAATTTTTATGCAATTTTTTTATATTAATAGATATCAGATATCTGCATTAATCAATATTACAATTTTTCAGGCCTTGTAAAATTTTAAATGGCTAACTTTTGTAGATACCTGATTTATATGAATGAACACTTATTTAATAAATAAATTAATTATCATTTATTATTATAGATTTCCTTCACTATATGATGACAGTAATATATTGGCATCAATAATTCACCCAAAGTTTAAGCACAATTGGCCTTTTATTTATCTGCCACAAAATTTGTTGCTAAAAGAAAGGTTAATTGCCCATTTAAAAAATATACAGGGTCAATCACATGCAGATCCTACAAAAATGCGTATCGATTACCTTTTTGGAAAAAATTCTTTACAAAATGCTCTTTTCATTAATTATTATTTTTTATTCTAATGATGATTCAGTGAATATTTTTAATAATTATGTTAATTTAAAAAAATTTTTTTATTGAATATAACACACCCTTGCTATCAAGCGTTCCTGTGGAGCGCTTGTTTAGTAAAGCTAAACATACTTAATGAAAACGTGGTTGTTATGATGATAATTTATAAAAAAATTTATTCTTAAAGGCTAATTTTAATTATAAATAAATATATTCTAATTGTTATACTTATACTTATATTATTCAATTAAAATCAATTCATACCTTATTTAATTAATTTTTGTATTAGTTAATTTTGCATCAATCAGAAATTTAAAGGAAAGAATCGTGATGGCGATCCTTTTAAAAAAGGTCGATCCTGGATTTCGATCTTATTTTTTTCACTTTTTAAAAGGATCGATTAACAAGCCTATATATTTAAACAATAATTTGAAAGAAAGAATGAAAAAGTTGATATTGTTTTTAAACTAAAACTATTTATCATAATTTATACATTTTTGGGAAAAAAGCATTTATATATAAAAAGTGAACCAAAAATGTTTTTTAAGAAATGGAATATAAGCCAAAGATAAGTCTTAAGACAAAATAGTATAATAATTAATAATAAACATAAAATTGCTATGTAATATAATAATATATCAAATATAATTTTTTATAAAGTGAGTAATTTTAATTTATTTATCTTAATAAAAGTAAAATATAATTATAAAACTATTAATAAATTTAAATAATAAATTAAATAAAAAAATTAAAGCACAATACAAACAGTGGAATATTATATGTCTTAGATTTACTTTAATATCTAATTTAATCAATTATCGTATGAC